TATCTTTCAATCTTCTACTATAGTGTTGTCGGTCAGAAAATCAGGTTTCAATTAATTTTAAAAAAATAAATTTAATAATGATTATAAACCAGGCGACTGCAATCTATTGGTTCGCTTTGATGTTTAAAAAACAACTTTACATAATAAGAAGAAATGTTACCGGCGCTGTAAAATAATATAAGGCGGCTCGTAACTTTTAAATTTTAAATTTATCGAGAAATGTTATTCAATATATCTTTAAAATTTTTTAATTGTTATATATGTATCGACCTGTGAGGGAACGAGTGAGAAAGGCAACTATTGCGCTTTACTCGAGCAAGAGAGCCATTGGGAAAGGCGAGGCATTGAACCACGCTTGGTTCAAGGCGAGGCATTGAACCACGCCTTTTCCTCGTGATCAAATTATGCAAATATAACCGTCTGTTATGCTCGAGTACTTTCTGGAGACTGATATAACGCAATCAAATATTTTCTCTTTTGGAACAGAACTCAAATGTGTGGGGAAATCTTTTAAACCTCCACATCGAATCTATAAGTATTCTGGCATATTCATATTCTCGCTATTCTGACATATGTAAGTACTCCGATTATTCTGGTATATACATGTAGGAACCTTTCACATCTCAACAATATAAATAGGACTGCAGAGTTTCAATTTTTCAGAGAGGAATTTCTTTTAATAACAAAATAAATATTAGTTAATATTTACGAAAAATTGTGAAATATACCAGGTACCTACATTCGCTGAACTTAAAAAATTCGTGTGTTTTTAATGTCAAAAGGGCAGTAAAGGTTCATATACGCTGTTTTCTCGAAATTTATAGATCAAGAAAAGAAAACTATAGGACGAATAAAATCAAAAAACTTAGAATAAAAAATTTTTCATTAGTCACCAGTTTGTTTTACATGTTCCGGCTATTTTGGTACATTCCCAATATAAGTAAATTTGTATGTTTATGTGTTCGATAGTATAAAACAAGCGATTGTGATTTGCATATTATTAGCCGCATATGATAAATGTATGCAGAGCATCTTGGAACAATAAAAAATTTTTTTTTTATGTTTTGCTTTTAACTTAAGATTGATTACTTTTGGGGCGTTTGACGAGCTCACAAAACAAAAAAAAAAAATAATAAGAAAAAAACTAAAAGAAAAATGAGAAAAAAAATCCAGAAATTGGTGATTTTTATTTCATTTTTTAACAAATTTTTTAATAAAAATATGTTTTTTCGGTTTTTTATTTTTTTATTTTAATTTCAGGTTGAGGCGCATTGTATTTTTAAAAGTGTATAAAAAGCGTTCAGAAAAAAAAAGTTAATGATTTCTTAAGTCGTTCCTTTTGTTTTTTTTTTTTGCTCTTCTTATGACTAACATATTTTTTAATGATTGTATTTTTATTTTTCGGAAATACGATCAAGGTAATTTGTGGTATTTTTATATTAAAGCTTTTCACCTTTAACAACTCATACAGTCGAAAATTTCTAAAAACTACTAGTAAATTAAAAATTAAGAATTTGCATAAACTTCCGGTTCACTATTCTTTAAAATTTTAATAACAATGAAAGATGGTATAATATTTGTGATATAAAGATGGGTAAAACTTATCGAACCATGGTTGAAACATTCGCCGGGTTGACTAAGATAGGACTCGGAGTAGGTTATTTAGTTAACAAAAAAAATTAAGTATTTGAAAATGAGTCGAGATGAGAGAAGAAGAGCACCACATAGCATCACCATAGGAGACTATAATTTCGAGCAGTTAGGCATTTTTAGTTAATAATGATAATGACCGTACTGGTCGCATTAACGAAAAAATTCAAAATACAAATCGAAGCTATTACGCAAATAAAAAATTATTCCTGTCTCGACTATTATCAAAAAACTTAAAAACCATTTTATACAAAACAGCCATCAGACCAATAGTGATTTATGGATGCCAGGGGTGGTCTTTAACTCAGGGTGATAGACATAATTTAAAACTTTTCGAACTCGAAATATTAAGAAGGATTTTTGGTGCCAAGCGACTTGAAGATGGAACATAACTTCTACGTGCAAACGAAGAGTTGAATATTGTAAAAACCATCAAATCCCAAAGAATAGGATGGGCTGATCACTTAGCACGAATGCCTGGGGACCGCAAACAAAAACGAACCTTCGAGTATAAGTCGCTATTAAATAAGGGAAGTGGCAGGGGAATAGATGGCGTAAAGAGTAATTTACGAAGTTTAGGGGTTCGAGAATGGAAAAAAAATGCAGAAAATTGAACAGAATGGGGGCAAATTGTAAGGATGGCCAAATTTCACCAAGGGATGTAGCGCCAAAAGAAGCAAAGGAAAAGTGGGTAAAAGTCGGCACTGTGATCTCTATATAACTTTCTATTTCTGAACATTGTATTTGCTTAAATGATATTAATTTCAAAACAATTTAACATTTTATTTTTTGATATTTATGTTTTCAGCTCCGAAGGAAGGGAAAACTTTGTAAATATTTTCAGGAAGGGAAAACACAAATGTGTATGAAAAATTATAAAGTTTAGTTTCCCTTTTGTAAAATGGAATATTGCGAAACTAGCAAGAAACTTTGTCTACTAGTATAGTTCAAATTGTTCAGTGGATCATAATTATATTGATCATAAAATAGAAGAAGCAGACAGAATCCGAAATTCATTTTACTTGTGGTACGGAAGTTTTGCTTGAACTTATACTCAACTCTCTACTTTACTCTACACATGACGCCAGCTGTACCCACGCTGTATTTCGTTTTATAATCTTTTACATCTGAGAGATTTCATAATGACCGTCATTTTATCTGGATTCGACTGTACACATAATATAATTAAAATTGTTAATTTTAAAGATTCGAAAATTAAATCTGTTTCGACTGTTAATACATTATAATAATTTTCTGAGTTTGAAGCTTGTGGGCATTTTTTTTTCTAATTCCTTTTTTTTTTTTTTTTGTTTTTTTTTTTTTTGGTACTATGTAAGTTATTAAAATTATGACTCGTGCTCATTATAATGATGAATGAAAATTATTTTGTTTTTTTGCTTTTTTGTGTTTTTCTCCCTTTTTTTATGAATATGTATATGACAAGATCTTGTATATTTTAAATAGGAAATGTGTATTTATATGTAAGTATATGTGTTTATGATAATTAGAATTCATAGAATATGTTGAGTATATATGTTGGTATAAATTATCAATAAATTGACCGGAAAAGTTATTGAAAATGATTATTATCACGCGATGAATTTTATTTCTTGAGGCGAAATGATTTTATTAAAGGTATATTGTTGTATAAGGTAAAAATGAATAAAACACACATGATTTTTCTTTTAGTGATTTCATCTCTCGGTAAAGTGTTTATTAGAAATATTATGTTGTTTTTATATAACCAAACACGATAACAATAAAATAAACACAAGTAATTCAAGAAATTTACATTTCAAAAATTTTAATTTCCGTTGAGGCTTTTAAGGAACATAATGAAAATATACAATAATGGCTGACTGGATGATGAAATTTATTTTTCAAAATACAATAACATAGAAAAATCTTACAGTTCAACATAAACTGAAAATTATTAAAATTCAACACATTAGAAATCGATATTCCTTTCCAATTTTCAAAATTAGAAAAATTCCTGTACAATATTGCAGTTAGCACAGAATGAAAATTTGAATTAGTGTCAATAGCTAATAACCAATAACAATAAGCTAAGAAATTTTGCAGTTTGTGGTAAGACTACTGATTCTTATACCAAGATATCAAAACATCACCAAAAAAAAAGCGGCAGCGGAAGCGAGAGCACAGACGATGGAGATATGGGAGGAACGATGGATAGCAACCACACAGGTAGATGGGCAGCTAGATTGATACCTGAACCCGGTGGGTTGGGTGTGGGCTTGGCAAAGTTAATTTTTGCATTACGCAGTTTTTGTCGGGTCATGGATCTTTTCGGCTACTTACACAGGAGGAGGAGGTTGAGGAGCCCTGAATGCAGGCACTGCGGCGGAGCGGAAGATACTATCTTCCACACTTTTCTCGAATGCAGCATTGCAGAAACTGAACGTCAAGGCTTAGAAACGCCCATCGGAATAATGGCTCCAGAGAATATCGTGAGACGAGTGCTAGAAAGCGAAATACATAGAAATGTTGTTACGCAAGAAGAAGAGGCTGAAATATCTGGAGGAAGCAGACGAGATAGAAGCGACATAATTTAGGATGCGTAGAAATCAAAAAGAGGAGAATTAAACATAAAGATAGGTTTCATCATGAAAGAGAGCAGCACGGACCGACAGTATTGAGGTGTGCGGAACCATCTCATTCCCCATGAAGGGTTTCACCTACTTGTCCACGTGGACTAAAGAAAAAAAAAAACTGGTTTTTATACATATCGTGTTCGTATATAATTTTATGGTATGCAATAATTAAAAGAATTTTGCTAAAAAATTCTTTACTATTAGCGTACTTAATCGTGAATATTCCGTTCACTTAAAAATTTTCTGATACAATACAATTTGCAAAGGCTAGCTTACTATAAATTAAAATTATGGCTGTGGTTGATAATGCAGTTAGACTTTGCCTTTCTAACTTAGAGCTTCAACTTAAATAGTTTTAACAGCAACCCTCAGCGGAACTTCTAATTTGATTTTTGTAAAAAAAAGAGCAATGATGTAACTTTAAAATGAAATGTTATATATTTGCGCTCCATTTCTGAATTTAATTCACTAGTACAAGGGCATAAACTTTTTGTCAGTTCGAGCAGTGCAAAATTATCAAAGTGAATTATCAAAAATGCCGCACAACAATAATTGCTAAAGATGATTCACTTCATTGTTTCCTTAAAAATATCTATAAAACCAAAAATATTACTAAAGCTAATCGGAAAGATTACAAATACAGAAAATATTATGATTATAAAAATTTAAAAAAAAATAGGAATTTAAAATATTTTTTAAATAAAAAATACAACATTAAAAAACATAATAAAAACATACCTTCGACATCGTCCATAATTAAAGCTGGCGACGTTGCTATACTACTAGGAACTAAATCATTTTTACCGGTTTTATTCCCTTCTTTAGTTATTTTATTATTAAAATTGCTATTAATACTTTTCGTGGCACTATTATTATTATTATTACTATTATTATTATTGTTATTACTATTGTTATTATTGTTTTTATTACTATTATTGCCAGTTATACTACCACTACTACTTCTACGACTTTTATTACTGCTTGCACTACTATCACTACTATTAAAACGATTTCTATTTAAAGTAACATTTCCAGTAATATTACCGCCGACATTGATACCCAAAGATGGTAGAATTGAATCTTTACCAATTGCGGTAACTGAATCATTTAAATTCCCATAAAGTTCATTGCACATTTGCTGTAACTGTTGTGTTCTTAAACCGATCATATTATGTGAAAGGCCATGTTGTTCAATAAATGCTTCTTGTTGTTGTTGTTGTTGTGTTAGTTGTTCTTGATTATTTTGTTGTTGTTTCTTATGTTGTAATTGTTTTTGGTGATGTTGTTGTTGATTAAAATAATGCCTTGATATATTCGAATGCAATTGACTATGAGTTAATTTTTGTTGTTCCAATTGCAATGTATTATGTAAATTTGTTAAATGTTGTAATTGTTGTAAACTATTTGTTGCTGAATTATGATGTTGTGTTGTTGCTGCTAAATGAGATGTTATATTATGTTTTAAATTTGATGTTTGTGAATGATGATGTATTAATGGATGATTTGAATGATAATGCTGCTGTTGATGTTGATGATGATGATGAGAATGATGATGTTGTGAATGATGTATATTATGGCCAGTTGGTTGTAATTGCATAGTTGTATGTGAATTTGGAAATAAAAAATTTGTTTGATCATTAATTGATCTTCCATTATTTGTTGTTGTTGTATTTATAGAAGCGACAGCAGCAGCAGCAGCAATTGCAGCTGCAGCTTCTGCAATTGCTGTTGTTGTATTTGTTGTTGTTCCGGTTGATGTTATTGATGATATCGATGCTGCTGATGTTGATGCTACTCCTGATGATGTTAAATTAATTAAAGATTCTTTATATTTGGACATTGTAAAATCAATTGGTTGCTGATATAAATGATTACGATGTGAATGATGCTGCTGCTGTAAATGATGATGTTGATGTTCCAAATTGTTGAAACTATTTCTGCTTCTAAAACTATTATGATCTAGTAACATTCCGTATGAAACGATATTTTGATAATTAGTTAACAGTAATGGCATAATAATTATGATGGCAAAGTTTTTTTTTTCACTCGTTGTTGTTTTATTGTTGTTGAATGGTGAAGTTAAAGTTTTTTTTTTTGGTTTATATTTAAAAGAAATCTTGTGTTTTTTATTTTTTTTTTTGAAAAACAAATGTGTATAAAATTTTATGTGTTATTCAATAAAGTTTTTATTGAGAGTTTAAGTTTTTGTTGTTGAAATTTCATCATTAACTAATTCGATCCACTTAAAAATTCAATGAATTGTTTTCTTTTTTTTTTTGTTTTGCTTTGAGTTATTGCACAGGCCCCCTCGTGGAAGATATTGTTAGTAAAAACAAATACTTAAGTTTTTTTTTTAAATGGCCGCTATTTGTTTATCTGTTTCTCTCTCAATTTTGTGTGTGGTAAGTATAAGTAAAATTTTATTTAATTAACCTGAATTTTTTGCTGCTTTTTGTCTCCAGGAAAATTTCTCTATAGTAGCAAACACAACAAGAACGCGATCTGTGAATTAAAAGTAAATTTAATTTAGAAAGAAAATTAAGCAAAAAATGAAGATTGTATTAAAATTAATTTATTTTAAAAAATTAGTGAAGTTTGTTTTTTGTTTAATTTGATGAAAAGTTTATTGAAGTCAAGCCGAGCATTTTTATACATTTTTATACGTGTCTACATTTTTATGTACATGTATACTTATTCTATACCTAATTTATTCTAAAAATGTTAACAATATTTTTGTTCTTTAGTTAATGGACATGAACAGGAAATCAATAAGTAGACAAGACATCGAAAAATGCATTCTTAAATGTAGACACCAAGATTTTCTTTTGTATGAAAGCAAAATCTTTATTTTAATCTCTAATAGTTTTATATAATCAAAGGTATCATAGTCACTTGTTATATCTTCTTATTTTCGTATTTTTACTATAATTCTTCCTTTGCTATATTATATACATTGCATTTCCCGCCCAAAATTTCTATACTAGTGTTTATACGATATGAGCTTTAAAAATGAATGAATTGAAGTCGCCACGTATATTCTTTTAAATTTTAATTTAGTGATTAGATAAATTTAGACACTCATATGGTACACAATTAAGATTCGTAACTAGAGATAAAAAGAAATTCTTTTTAGATCTTTATAAAGATTCTTTAGAATCTGTATACACATCTGTGTATGTGTACGTATATAAAATCATTTTCTACTTCTTATTTTTCCCTATCTCATTTTTTTTTTAACGATTCCTAGATTAAAATCCAAATTATCATTAACCAGTTAGCAGGCATTTTAAAGGAAATAAAAAAAAAATATGGTAAATTATTGTTGTTGCGTTTTTTTTATATATACAAAAGTAATGTTAAACAATAACACTACTAACGCCCACAATTTCTTATGGATCAGTTTAAGTAATATTTTTTTGTGTATTTTTTATGCTTTTTAACATCTCAACAACTTTTATTCTCTTATTTTTACTTTAATTTTTAGCGAACATTAAACCAATTATTTTCGTTTACCATAGGAGAAATCGAATTGAATCCGACTGGTGGGTAAAATTGTTAATAACTGCAGGCAATTTTTTATTTTTTTTGCAGTTGTTCTTTTTTTTTTTTTTTTTGGCATACAAATTTAAATAAAAAATATTTCTTTAAAATAATTTTTATTTCGAAAAGCTGTAAATAAGTACAAAATTTAATTTTCTAATTGAATAATTAAGAAAATTGGCAATTTTAAGATCAGAAGCTTGAGAAATCATTGACATTAAAAAAATTATTATTGATAATGAACTGTCAAATTTAATGTCAAACTTACTTTTCTAAATAACTTTAATGAAATAAGTTGCCGCACAAATTCCAGAAAAGTGCCACCACGAAACATTAGATTTGAACTGTCAGATAAATAAATTTGATCATTTTCTTTTGATTTTTAAGCTTTTGTAAGCAACTTAGAGGTTTTCATTGAAAGTACACGAATACATTTTTTTAACTACATTAAATTAAGTTGGAAATCGAAATGAGAGTGCAACTTAACCTCCAAAATTTTACACGTTCCATCATTTGACTTAAATATTAACCATACCAAATAAGGCCTCCTCCTCCCGCCGCCAGTTCTTCGAGATGTATTCATATGATGGATTTTGGTATATTGAGAAGGTGTGGGTAATGGACTAAAGCTTTGTTCCGCTGACTTTTACGAAAAAAATTTCAATACCGGACTAAAATAATCGGTGCACTGTGTTAAAACCTTTGTTGAATTAAACATTTATTAAGTAAATTTTGATTTTATGAACTTCATTCGGCGCTCCATACCTTCTCTTAGTTTTAATCTCACTATTAAAAAAAATTTCAATATCTTTGTATACGATTTAATAGTAGCACATAAAAAAAAACAGACAAGTGAATGGTGTTAGTAAAATAATTTCTGCTACTTTTTATAAAATTTTTGTTTTTTTTTTTATTTAAAGGTGAGATGTCATGCTGGTTCACCTGTTGAAATATTTTATTAAACTGCCATAATCTTTTAACTTAATTTTTATTGAAAAATGAGGAAAAAAATTGGCTTTTTTTTCAATATTATTTGAATTTAAAAAGTAATTAAAGTTTTTTTTTTATTATGTAAAACAAAATTAAAATTTTTTAATCAATTCGAGCGAAAATTTCAATATTTTTAAATATTACACAAATTCTATGTTGAAACGGCAAGCAACAATGAATTTCATCTAGAATTTTTGAGTTGGAATATTGCAGAATTTAAAAGAGAGTACATGTGCTACGCAATTCTCATCAATACAGAAATTTTTCCGATATTTAAGAGCAATGTTTAGAAACTTACAGAATTTGTTTTGGAAATTAGACTTACAGAATTTGTTTTGCAAGTATTTACGGCACGATAGTTTATCACTAAAATGAAACTAGTCCACATGTCGATTGTTTATCACGAATTCGTATGAAATCCAAATTGACAATTCCATCAACAAAATTTGAATTTATTAACATTTTTATTAGGAACTTTTGAAATTTCTTTAATAGAATTAAAATAATTACCTTACAGGTACACTCAAGAAAAAAAAAAAATGAAAAACATGTTTTTAATTAAGACATAAAATCTCTTGTCGCCAATTATTAATTATTCACACATACATACAATAAAAAAAAAGCATCATTGATTATTTCGGAACCCTAAAATATTTTTTTTTCACTTTTCTCCTCTTTATTTTAATAAAAAAAAATTTCTCTCAATAAAAAATCACTTTCCAATTAAAAAGACTCAAAATTTGAATGATTTTTTTTCTTTTTGAATAATTTTTCTTCTAAAAATACAAATATGTAGAGGAACATGCCCAAAAAAAGGGAGATGAAAAACATTCGGTAATGTAAAATACATCTAAAAAGCTAATAACAAAAAAGAAGAACAAAAAAAAACGCCAGAAATTCTTAAAAAGTGACCAAGCAAAAATGTTTTCCAAGCAAAGAGTTTTTTTTTAGTTGTACGTAAATTAGTTTTTAAAGCAATGAAAACTACTGACGACGACAGCGTACTCCATCAAAAAAATTACAAGTTGTTCAAATTTGCTTTTACAAGATTAAAAGAACAGAAAACAAAAAGTATAAAATTAGAGCAGGAAATAAAGAAATACCAAACTAAAGAAAGTTGTAAACCAATGAAAATTTTTGAATTACAAAAGAAAAGAAAATCAATATGAGATTGTTTGCAAATTAAAGAAAATTGCATAAATTTAGGCGCTTGGATTAAAAAGCTCTGAAACAAATTAATTTTACGACTACGTTGTAATAAATTTGCTTCCCATAAGTTCATAGGCCTATTACCATATGTTAGGCCGATTCGGGAGTACACATGTCAGGCTTAGGTTCCCAATTGTTCTATTGATATTTCTAGGATCGAATCCGTCCAGAGGATATTTCTTTGTTTAGCATTGTATGATTTAGTTTTGTCCGATTCTCTTAGATGGCCGCCGTATGAAGATGGACTACTCTTGTTGAACTTGAAGTTGTTTTGTTCTGACGTCCTTTGAGACAGAATTCGAACGATTTGAGAGCTTTTCACTATTTATCAACACAGTACCGATTATGGTAGGAATGAATTAGCATGTTTCGCGTAGTCATTCTAGCTCCAGTTATTTTGATTTTGGCATTTAAAAGGTGCACCGAGATCCTTCTCTCTCTGGCTTTCCAGGAATTTAAATATATTTTACTATGGGTTATATAATAGTGGTACTGTGGCTCAGCTTTTTTTTGTTTTTTTAAACTGTTGTTTCGTAAAACTTAGTCCAAAAATTTTTTTATATCACCCATTGTAAAATAACTTCTGTCCCTACTATCTGACCACTATTCTTTTCCTTCCTATCTTATCAAATGATGACAATTTTTCTAGGCAATCTGATAGCCACATTTTGTGCGTCTAAATGATAATTGTTCAAAATAAAAGTCTAATAAAATTTGAATACAATTATTTCTGCAACATTTCTGCAAGAAATAATTAAAATTCTTTTTAATTGAAAAATTCACACGCGACAATATTTAAAAAAAATTTAAAATCAATTGCCAACTCTTATTGTCAACACAATTTTCTATTAAATCTCAATAAACATTGATTTTGAATACTCATATACGCGTGTACATACATATAGGTATATGAGTGTGTTGATTAATATTATTTATATAGTTTACAACTTTCGGCATGTACCTTTGAAATTATTACAATGAATTTAAAAGAAGAAAAAAAAAAGAGAAAAGGAAAAGAGCAGCCAGAAAGAAAGAACAGAAAAAAAACCGAAAAATATTGAAACATTAAACCTACAGTAATCATGGGGATTTTATCCGTATAATAACTATCCAATGCACAGTCAGAGTATACAGTATCTATATGTATGTAGATAAAAATACTACCATCGCAATGAATAATATTTAAATGGAATTCTTCAAAAATGAAAAAATCTGAATCTCATCTTATCTTTTTAATTCAAACTAAATTTAATTTTCTCTACATATAAGTACGTTACATATATGTATGTTTGTGTATATATAAACAACTCATCTACATATTACAATCATCTTGAACTAATCAGCTTGGACATGGAATAATTTTTTCTTATATTTCCATACCAAAATGTAATACATTTATGTAATACATATATATTGTATAGATAACATTTACATAACATTTTTACAATATTTTAAATTAAAATAAGCACTAAACTGGCTGATGAAACGCAAATTACGTTATTAGCGATGCTTTAGAAAGATCACCCAACAAAATAATTTTCTAATTAAAATGACTTGCATAAAAAAAATGTACCATGTACCTTGTACATTTATATATATGTATATATGTAGTGTATAAGTACGTAACCAAAGTGGCATAGTATATATAGGAAAGTTTTTCACTATGAGATTTTCTATAGAAATTATAAAAGTTTTTGAGATTATAAGTTTTGTTTTTTTTTTTTTCTGTTTTTGTTTTCTGAAATAATTAAAATTTTTATGGT